TGCAATCTAAAATTCCAATATTATTAAACACTAGAAATGAATTTCCCCGCGTCTAAAAAAAAAAAATAAACACCAAAGACGCAGAGGTGGAACACATTCGTACATATCTGACTTTGAACAATTCTATTTTTCATAACTACACGTACTTGCATTTCCTCCAGAGAGAGACACTCTAAATTTTGTACCACTTGCTGCCATCATCAATATCATCAATGGCAACGATTATCGTAAAAACGGAAGCGTCAGATTAAGCAAAGAAATATTGAATAGAACTTGACAACGACCGTTGCTAAGCGGCGAAGGTGGGCTGAGGGAGGAACGCTGTTTATGTAGGGAGCGCTTGAAATTTCATGCCCAGCCATAAGTACAGTTGTGTGGGTGCAAAGAGTGTGTGTATAAAGCGGGGAAAAAGATTCAATTGATACCCCAACAATTTATAACCGCCACAAAATCAGCCAAATTCCGACTGAAAGCAGCTGGAGTGACGGCATGGCAAGAGCACTACAAGGAGTGCTACAAACTCCCGCAGTGGGAGGCAGAATTATTTAGTAATATGTTTGTGTATGTAGGGATATGTGGTAAAAGTGTGTGGTTTGTCGGCATTTGAAAGCGCTCGCTACTGGGCGCCGTGTTGAGGTTATGTCGCGTTGAGCAGATTGTTTGCGGCTAAGCGGCTTTGCCTGGTTGGCTTGGCTTCTTTTTTTGCGACGTGACAGACAGACGTTGAGGAAATTAGTAGCATTTTCTTCCTAAATTTTTTCAATTTTTATTTTATTTTTTCAATTGCTGATACTTTCAGTGCGCCTATAAGACCCAGACTTTATGACAGTAAGCTTTTAGCGTTTATTATCTATAGATTGCTGTTATTAGTTTATATATTTTATACTTACACTAACACTCTAGAGATGATAGTGGTGCTTCTTTTTCGTGATTATCATTTTGTTTTGCTTAATTTTGGTTTCTCATATTTTTATACCCTACTCGAACGGGAGCTGTTGTAAGAATTTGTACACGAGAGCTTTTATCAAAGTGAATTTAGATGCAAATTTGTGTTTTCTCTCATGTTGAGGAAGCTACAAACGTGAAATCAGACATTATGGACGGATTTGATGCATAAAATAAGAGCTTCCTAGTAATAAATTGTTTTAGGATTTATTTTTGAACCAAAACTTTGATATCTAGGCTGCTATAAAAATTTGGTATTCTGTAAGGTTAAAATACCAAAAAAAGGGGGAAAAAAATAAAATCTTCCAAATCATTCGACTATACCCCGTAGCTATCATAGAAAAGGTTGTTCAAAAATAAGTTTTTGAATCGAAACCCCTGAGAAGCTATTGAGAAGCTACAAATATGAAATTTAGTATTCTGTAGAGTTGTCAGGCAAGGAATATAAAAGCTTAAAATCATCGAAATCGGTCGACTACAGCTAATGTTTTCCACAGAGCTGTTATTTCAAAAATGAGTTTTCGAACGAGAACACCAATATTTTTGCAGCTATCAATATGAAACATGGTATTTTGTATCTAACATCTAAATATCTCGACTATGCCCCATAACTATCATATAATCGATCGTTCAAAAATGAGCTTTCGAGTCAGAATTCACACATTAAGGCACAAAAAAAAACAGAAAATTGATATTCTGCAGAGATATCAGGCACATAATAGTATAAATTAATTTCTTTGATTTTAGACAAGTATAACCTCTAGCTGCCGTACAAAAAATTGTTCAAAAATGGGTTTTTGAGCCAGAACTCACACATTTAAGCAGCTACAAAGATGAAATTTAGTATTCTGCAGAAAATTCGTGCATGGAAAACGAGTAATGAAAATCATTGAAATGGGGCCACTACACCCCATAGCTACCATGGAGCCGATTGTTCAAAAATGAGTTTTTAAGCTAAAACTCAAGCACACGAAATCTGGTATATTGCTAAGTTGCCATACAGAAAATAGAAAAATGTGAAATATTTCAGTCTTGGAAAATTTCAGAATGTATTGTATGCTTGTTCACATCTGTCTAGGCACTGATTGTTCAGATACGATTTCTTTCTAATTTTAAATAGTTATTTTGAACTGATAATTTCACTTATTACCTTTTAAATCAATATTTTTGCTTCTAAATTTAAATTGGGCTGCCTTCTTTAATGCTATAAAGCCATGGGCAAAGCCAAGAAAAAGCATTCCCTTCTTGTTGCTTGCTAAATTTGGTTTTCCATTTCATAACTTCTTTTATATTATTGCTGCTATTGTTTTTGTTTTCTGCTGTCATAATGTGCTACCTTTTTCAGCTTGAAGCATTTCTGTTGAGTCAGCAGGAAAATTTTTGAGCCCCAAAGGACTTATAGTACCTACGCGCTCACAGCACAGACAAGGCCGCACAAACTGACAAACAGACAGACAGACAGACGGACAGTTAAGTGCTATCATGTTCACTTAAGTCAAAAGGATGAAGCTCTCTTCTACATAAAGATACCCACTGCTGCATACATATATATATAGTTTATTAATATTTTACTATTTAAGACCATTGTATTACTGTCACTCCCTGTTCTGCTCACTACGTTTATCATTGTTTTTGTTTTTATTTGTTTTTACTTCTTCTTTTCTTGCTGTAAGACAAATAAAGTCGAGTGGAGTGTATTAAACACGTTTTGCGCTTATGGGCATTTTTTACATTTCAGTGCACACCAATAACAACTTCAGCAAGCAAGAAAGTTAAAGCAAAGCTAAGAAGATAAAGCGAAATAGAGAGAAGCAAGAGCGAGTCACTGAATAAAACAGTCCATATGCGCCTATTTGGCCGGAGTAGTTTGAGTAGCAAAGAGATTTAAAGATTTTGTACTACAATTCATGGCCATTCGCCTATAGAAATTACTAAAAGAACAACGGCATAAGCAACCCTGCTGCCTAAAAGCTAAGCAGTGCAAAGTAATCATAAAATCACTGTGGGTGTGCTAGGCTGTCGCGCAGACTAGCAGACGCAGCGACACAAACACCGTCAGACACAGCTTCAGCGATTTACAGTGTACGATATTCAAAACAGTCTCGCATTCATTTTCACACAGTGGACGACAGAAGCGGAAGCTGATTTCAGGCGGAAGTCGTGCGAAGTCATCGCTAAAGGAAGTAAGCATAAAGTAGAGTGAGAAAATAAACAGCTAAGTAGAAGCAAAAGCAAAAAGTAGACTCGGTTCAGCGGAAAATTTCCGAATTTTAAGCTGATTTTAGCACTGAAAACAAACAAATCAGTCCGTACGCCAAAAAGTAGGCAACACAAAGCAAAGAGGCGAACAACAAACACCTTCAGCTTAACGTGTCGCAAAGCGAGCGTTTGCCATTGTCGCGGAAAATTTAATTAGAGTGCAAATGAAGTGAGATTGGAGAAGGAAGCATAAACGAAGTAAAGTAAAGAATTAAAAACAGAAAATAATAATTAATTAATTAATTAAGAGAAAGTTGGTTAAAATGAAGTAAAATAAAAAAAGTTAAAGTAATGTAACTAAATAAAATAAAATTAAATTACATTAAATTAAATATAAATACAACAAAAAATAAAAAAGCGCGTAAAATTTGAAATTAATAATAAAATAAAAAATAAATAAATATAAACAAAATGTTGAGAAAAAGAATTAAAAATTTATCAAAAGAGTCCAATTCCAATGAGTTAAGTTCAGACCTTTAAGCTCATCATGACACACAGCAAAACGTTTACTGATCACAGCTGCATAGAATGACAACACCAACAGCATATGCCACCGGTCAATTTAATTGAATAAAACGTCATTGACAAGTGCAAAGTTACTTTAGAAGAAACTTAAGAAGTAGAAAAAAATGCAAAACAACGGGATTAGCTGTGAAACACAGGAGCTACATTTGCAGTTGAGCGTTGAGTTTCACGCAGAATTGAATGGGCACACAAAAAGTTAATACTTGTGTCATCGTTATCATTGACTTCGTGAACACAGCTATATTTTTAGAAAGTTTAGCGAAAACCGTAAAGTTTGCTAAGTCTCCAAAGTTATTTTTGTTGCGAAAGTGTCTCTTAAATCGGTTTTTGTCAGCCAGCATTGATTTACGGAATATTAAATAATATCAGATGCTCCTAAAAGTATGCCAAAGTACATTATTTGCAACTCTAAGCAGCTGAAAGTATGCTCAAAATTGTAAAAAAAAGGTCGAGTGGGTAAGGCGCCAAAAAGTATGCGACAAATAGATTTTTGTAATCAACTCAAAAGCATTAAACTCAATGAGTTTCAAGTATGTTTGAAATAAGTTTTGGTTGTCTACCTTAAGCATTAAGCAGTGAAATATTGAAATTAGCACTTGGGGACTGGGAAAATTAAATTGATGTATAATAATAATTTGATTAATTGAAATTTAATATAATAATAATATTTGTGATATTTTGGCGGGAAAGAAAAGCAATTTTTGATTAAAATACTTTATTATTAAAAAAATACACTAGTTTTATCTCAATATACAGCTTTTTTAGATATCCTCACTTCGTTTTTATTCGAAAAATGTATAAAAAAAATGTTCATTATTACCCACTGTTGCTCATCAATTTCTATACGCCTACAGGTAGGCAGCACATTTAGTAGAAAAATAAATCGTTTAAATTTGTTGGAAATTCGGATTAAAGTATTAGTATTTTCTATTTTCCCAGGAATTTCTTGCAAACAAGCATATAAATTTTGATTTTCAAAGCTACCGATTTATTTCTCATTAAGTATTCCTCAGAACGCCTTAAAGTATGTATAACAGCTTTTTCATTGGAAGAAAATCATTCATTTACGAAAATCACTTTTTAGAGGCCAAAGTACACTTGCAAATGTCAGTTAAGAGTCTTCTTTCAGTCAAATGCTTTGCATTTCTGTGAAGTGAATTAATTAAGCGCCTATGAGCATGCTACGCTCTTACATATTTATACATTTATATATAAGCCAATAAAAAAATGCGCGCGAGCTTTAATATCCAAACTAAATTGTTTAATTACAGACCATCCAAGTACTGGCAATTTACTCAACTAACTACAACAACAACAACATAAACAACTAGAAGAGCAACAACTTCGAACAAAGCAAAGTGAATTTGCAAATTAAATCTAAGCGCATAAGTATGCAATGAAATGAAAAGTGAGTGGTAGAGGAAACACAACTAGAGGAAGAGGAGGAAAAAATATCGTCTGAAAGTGAAAAGGAAAAAAAGAAAGAATTGGACGTCATGGAAACGCGCAGTAAGGACGCTTGCCGTACTGCGGCTGCCGACTCCACAACAGCAATTAGTGCGCTCAACAGTGAGAATTGTAGTGTAGACTCGACTACAACGCAACAACAACCAAGCGTTGTTCATTCAACAACAGCGCCACAGCAACAACAGGTGAGCAGCAGCACAAGCAGCGCGCCGAAAACGAGCTCACCAACGCCACCTAGTAGCAACAACAACAATAACAATAATGCAACCAATAAGACAAAGTCACAACAGCAGCAACAACAACAGCAATATCATCAATTTCGTGCGCCACAACAATTTGTGCGGCATCGACGCGCCACCGCTCCCGCAGCGTTGCTCAATAAGAAGGGCAAAACATGGAATAAACGACAGCAGCGTGGTGCAAAACTGCAACAACAACAACAACAACAACAACAACAACAACTACAACTACAGCAACATCAACAGCAACAACACATGCTACAAGGTGGCGGCGGCAATGTGGGTGCCGCTGGTGGTGGCGTCAGTGATATTAGTGGAACGCCAGCGTCTGCCACGACGGGGGCTACAACCAAAGCCGACCTTGAGAATATACAGAATTTCAAGAATCAACTTGGCGGCCATCATTACTATCCGCATGGTGGTGGTGGGGGCGGAGCACATCGCGGTGTGGGCGGTGTAAATCCAGCAGGTGGCGGCAACGTTGGGGGCGCAACAGGCGCTGGTGCATCGAGCAATGGCTTAGCACCGGCCGCAATAGCCAACATGGAAAAACTGGGTTACGGCCATGGTCATATGAAAATGTACAAAAAGTTGCTGGCGCATAGGTGAGTGAAATGATGGAAGCTATGCACATACATACATTTGTATGAGCGTACACTTTTCCTTTTATTTTATCTGATTTGATCTATTTCATTTTATTTTTCTTTATTTATTTGCAGTTTAGTTAATTTAATTATTATTTTATATATTTTTTTTAATTATAACTATTTTTTACTGGTTTTATACCGAATATTCTAACCTCTTCGCTCCTCTTGTTTCCCAGGGGCGTTGGCGGACATCATCACCATGTGCTTTGCGCTGGCGCGGCACATAATACTATTGGTGGCAACTCTAACTCGAACTGTTGCCTCATCAACGGCTGCAACGGGGGCCATCCAAATGGCAAGGAGCCCTCAAACGGCAGCACAAACAGTTCACAGTCTGGCAATGTCGCTAGCTCGCTGCACTACTGCTGCGCACGTTCAAAATTCTTTTTGCCCGATAAGCGGGTGCGTAAAGAGACCATCATACCACCAACTAAGTTCTTGCTCGGCGGAAACATCTCCGATCCGCTCAACTTGAACTCGCTACAGAATGAAAATTCGAATGCCTCATCGAACAATAATACGCCGGCAACCACACCGCGCCAGTCACCCATCACTACGCCACCCAAAGTGGAGGTGATCATACCGCCGAATATACGTGATCCCTTGCATCTGCTTGATCCTGTCGATTCGATGGAGTATGAAAAGCAGCTAACATCACCGATGAAGCGTGGCGGCGCACGTGGCGGACACGCCCATCATCACAGCGCCAAGCATCGTCATCGCAAAAATCGTAAGAGCAAGCGACGTCGTCACGACTCCTACCAGTCGTCTGTGGGTAGCGCATCCATTGGCGACGCTGACACAACCGCTCTGGCCAACAGCACAATGTCTACTGAGACGGTCAGTGTTAGCAGCTTAGTTTCCCTTTCGTTAGCCACAACTCTCGCCACTGTCTCCACGCTGGAGAGTAGCGTCAATTTGAGTTTACCGTCGACCGGGGATGGCATGAACAATAATGTTAACATTCTGAGCAAAAGCACACCAATGGTGGTAAGCACATGTGAGACAATGCCAGCTGAGTACAGACAACAGCTGGAAGAGCGCGAAGAGCACGAAACTTTGAATACCGGCGCAGCAATGCTCAGTAATGTAAGCGCAGTGGAGGAACGTTTTGAGCGACGGAACAGCAAAAGCTCATCGCCAGTAAAACAGAGTGCCAACTTAACACTCTCTGGAACCACCTCGTCGTTGGGCGTGAGTGAGACTGGAGAGCCATTGTTGACACCAAGTGCTGCTATAACAAAGGTCGCTACGGACGGAGCGGTTGCTGGTGGAGGTGATGTTGTGCTTGGTGGCGCTGGTGTTGGTGCTTTGTTGTTGCCGCGAGAACGCGCCACGCGAGATTTACGTTTGGAATTGAACTCGACAACAGTGTTGTCCTCCTCGTCGTTGAGTGGCAGCACGTGCAGCAGCATAATGGCCGGACTGAGCGCCGGTGGCATGGGCATAGGTGGCGGAAGGAAGCGCAAGATAAGCGAGAGCAATAACTCGCAGAAAAATAAGGTAAGTGAGAGCGTAAATGAAACACGCACACGTAGAAGTGAGTTATTGAAATAAAAGTAAACAAAACAACAGTTGTTGTTGCGCCTGGTGATTAGGGTAGTGTGTTTGGGCTGGTCGGAAAGAAGGTTAATGGGGTAATAGCGGGGGTGTTAAGGATGATGTCAATGTGCTTCGGTAAGTTTTTTCGTGTGTCTTTTTTCCTTTCCGTCACGTACACATTTATTTGTAGGTGTGTGTGTGTGTGCATTACGAAGCAGGAATGCGTTAGGCAATATAAGTTTTATAGCGAGAGGTGTGGAGACTTGATTAATTGTTTTGATTTTGTTTACTTCGCGCCTTTTTTGTTTTCATCGACAGTTTCTATTTGTGAAAAAAACATTTAAGGGGTGCTTAGTAGGTTTAGAGGGCAAGGCGAACTCGCTTATCTAGAGCTGTCTCGTAGTCAAGGAATATGAAGATCATGTTAACCTTAATCTAAAGGGTTTCAAGGTTCAAGGCAAGGGGTCGAGGGATTTTCGTGAGAAGGGTTATTAATTATACCTTAAGTGTTAGTAAGTTTTTACAAAAATAAATTTTAATAAAATGAAATTAATACCTAAATCTAATTTATTCACCCAATAGAAATTCCATCGGGATGCTATGGATAAGATCGTCAGCCCGGTAGTACCACAACCCGGTGCCTGGAAGCGACCACCACGCCTCGCGGCCACAGGAGCACGTAAACCAACACGTCGTTCTACTTCAATCAGCGAGACGGATATACTCAGTCCAGCAGATGAAGCTGCCAGGCCGCTATCTAGCGATGGTGAGCTAATTTCGTCATACTTCTCACAAAACAATCTATTAAATTCCGACCTCTCTTCCGCAGCCGATTTGTTACGCGTTGATACACCCGATTTCAGTAAGCTCGAGACAATCTCCGAAGCCGGACTCGCCAGTCCACTCAGCACCACATCGGGCGCCACCTCAGTCGCCGCTGGGGAACAAGAATCGCTGATGGATACAAGCGCTGGTGATAATTCCACCACAATGCCGGCCGAAGAGACACAAACATCACTCAGTATTACGGCAAAAAGCAGTGCAAATGTCTCCATAAGCTCCAACGTTGCCATAGCACAGCTCACAAAAATGCCACATTTCCGTGCTGACGGTGTAAAGTATCAATATGGCAATTATGACCGCTATGTAGGCTTGCGTCATCTCAACGAGTTGGTGGATGTACGCCTGCAAGTGTTTCAGCGTCACCTTGAGCTCTTTCAAAATAAAGATATACTTGATATTGGTTGCAATGTGGGGCATATGACAATCACCGTGGCGCGAAACTTTGCGCCTAAATCCATATTGGGTATTGACATTGATAGGAAATTGGTGGCACGCGCGCGGCACAATCTCGGTCTATATGTGCTCATACCACCACAAGGAAAACCGGCGAAACCAAGAGACGTCGCATCCACAATCGTTGAAAAGGAAGAGAAACCCAAAGTGGTGGTCAAGGAAGAGAGCGGCGCTGCAAGCGGCAGCACTGAAGGTAAGATAAAGAGCGAAACTGCCGACGCAAACAATACTGCCAAAGTGGCGAGCTGCAAAGCAAACAGCCACGCAACAGAAGCGAGCGCTAATAGAACAAAAAAGACGCGTCGCCACAAAAAGTCAAAACATGGATTACAGCAGCAGCAACAACAACAACATGCGCATCATCAACAGCAGCAGCAGCATCAGCCACAGCTGCAGCATCACCACCACCACCACCATCACCATCACATGCATCACCACCATCATCACAGCCACTATCAACAACAACAACTACAAGCATTGCATGTACCTGCTACTGATTTATTTCCCGTGTCATTTCCACTGACATACGGTGGCATACCAACAGCAGCTGCACCCAGCGCCTCAGTCGCCGCCTCTACCACTACCGCCGCCACCAACACAGCAGATAGTCATTCAGTCAGTGAGTCAACAAACACGCCCGGTCATGCGAGTAATAACACACCAGCAAGCAGTGGCGGCGCTGCAGTGGCAAATCGCAAGCGTAAAAACGATTTTCCGCGGAACGTATTTTTCCGTCATCAGAATTATGTGCTCGAGGATGAGGCGCAGCTGGCGAATGACACGCAGCAATATGATCTCATACTGTGCTTGTCGGTGACAAAGTGGATACACTTGAATTTCGGCGATGCCGGACTGAAGATGGCCTTTAAGCGTATGTTCAATCAACTGCGGCCCGGTGGAAAGCTAATATTGGAGGCACAAAATTGGGCGAGCTACAAGAAAAAGAAGAATTTAACGGTAAGTGCGCTCGAAAGGGTATTATTGAATGTACAGCTATAAGACTTGCCACATGCTGTAAGAGCATATCTCCAGTTTCAAAATCAGCTGTTTCTTTGTTTTCCGTTTATTTGTTTTAATTTTTCACTTACTCTCTTCACAGCCCGAAATCTACAACAACTACCGCAACATTGAATTCTTTCCCAATAAATTTCATGAGTATCTACTCAGCTCAGAGGTTGGTTTCAGTCACAGCTACACCTTGGGCGTGCCGCGGCACTTGAGCAAAGGCTTTTGTCGTCCCATACAGGTATGTTTGTGCGCGAATTTGTGCATGCACATTTAACTTACCAACAATTTAACTCAAAACACAATGCACTCTTCAATTTCAGTTGTACGCCAAAGGCGACTACACCCCCAACCATGTGCGCTGGAGTGACGCTTACTATCCACAAACCCCCTTTGAAGCTTATCGCGGCATATACGCAACAATGCCACCACGACCAGCAGGTCTGGCATCGTATGCTATGTCATCGACACGCAGCCAGGCATATGACACACCACACTACACAGGCGGCACCTCTGGCCCATATAGTTGCCGTCAAACGCCCATGTATCAACCCATCTATAATCCACTAGAGACCGATTCGTATTTACCCTCATACGATATGGAATATCTCAACCATATGTATGTCTTTGCCTCACCTCTCTATCAGACCGTCTGGTCACCACCCGCCAGCTTGCGTAATAGCTCCTCACATACACCTGTCTTCGGCAGTGTACGCGAGGCTGAGTTGGATGGTGATGGTGGTGGTAGTGGAGGCGGTGGCAGTTACCACCGTCACGTTTATCCACCCAACGAGGATACCTCATCGCCAAATGCGAATACGGGTGGCGCATTCAGTTCGATACGCGATGCGGATACAGATGATTCGAATCAATTGCCTGCTGGCCGTATGCAGCATGTCTATGCGACCAATTGTGGTGAGAGTTCATCATCGCCGCAGGTGCAACACAACAATGATTCGGATGCACTGGTGGAAGAGTGTTTGTCTTTAGACGATGAGCAACCAGTGTCGGGGCAGAGCCAGGGCCATGTGGTGGCTGCAGCTGCAGGTGGTAGTGCGTATGTCGTGGGCATGAGCAACGGCGAATTGCCTGTGGCAGCAGGTAGTGGTGCTACTGGACAGGAAGGCAGTCAGCATTACTGTGATTTAAATGATGCTTAAGTTTTAAATTTGAATAGTTTTCGATTAACAATAATTTCAATTAATTTTCGCGAATTTTGGGAGAAAAATGTGGCGCAAATGTGTAATTGTCGATTAAGTAAATGCAGCGCAAAATATTTACATATGTACAAGCAAGTAGAAGTATACAATATGTAGTTGGCAGCATGTGTAAGCCTAAAGCGAATGCTTCAAAGACGCTTATGAGTAGCATAAGTATATACATACAAATTTTACTTAGTATCCACATACATACGTAGTACATAATGCAGCAGTTATTGAAGAAGGAAACAACAAATTAACAGGTAAATAATCAAAAATTTATGAAAAACTAGTTTTCATTTGAAAAACTGTACTGCAGGCGCTTCAAATGTTTGCGTACTATCGAGTAATGTCTATTTTTTCTTGTTGGTTGAGTAATTTTCTGAAGTTTTCTAGCTGCCTTGAATCTTGAGTGTAGGTAAAATGTAAATTTTGGCAAGTTTTTCAATTGTAAAAGCGTTTTAGAGTTCTTAAGTGCGATAAGGAGTTGGATTTGTTTCGTTAAATTGCTTTCTTACTTTTTAATTAGAACATATTAAAGGTTTTATTGAAAATACGTTGAACCATTTACGTATAATTTTTTATTTAAGTTTTTTTATTATTGAATTAGTTTTTTCTTTAATTTCATTTTCATGCTTACTTCTTTTATTTAGAACTAAATTCAGATGAAATCTTTGCTATATTACTATTAGTTTAATTGAAATAACTATTTTTCATGAATATTATTTTTGACATTCACTAAAATCTGACGAAATCTTTACCAGAGCTGAGTCTATTAATTCGTCTATTCTCTTTTTTATATTCAAAAGCATATTTTCTCAGACTAACAGTAAAATTTGATCAGCGCTCGAAGAGTACAGTTAAAAACGTTATCTATAAAAATATATGTACATAAAGTTACCATTATTTAGAAAAAAAATTACGAAAGGAGGAAAATTAAAGGCAAAATGAAAATATAACACATAAAAAGATAAAAAAAAATGTTTCAACAAAAAAGAAGAACAATAAAAATATGTTATTAGTGCTTATTTATTAGTGGAGTTACATATACATACATAAATAAAAAACATATTTTTTACTGCAGTCTTTGAAATATGCTTAAGAGATGCACGGCTGATGGTACAGAAAAAAATATATGAAAAAGAAAAGAAATCAATAACAACTGGTTTAAAATATTTAAATTTCCATCAGGAAAAAATGAAATTAAATAAATTTTTGATTTGCCGCTACCAACAAGCAGCAAACCACAAGCCTTTGGCATAAAACTGCATTGGGTAGAAATTTGTGGATATATGTACGTATATATATATATATATATATATATATATATATTAGCGTAAATATATTATATTAAATTCAACTTTTATTATATCTTAACAATTGTAGTCATAATTATTTATAAAAACAAATACACAACAAAAAAAAACACAATATTTACACATATACATTAAAATAAATATTTGTACGTTTTATTTGTTAGCATATATTTTTCGCATCTTTATATAATATAATTATAAATATAAATATTAAAAAAAGGATATAAAAAAGAAATAGAAATAAAGATTGAAAAAATTAAATAAAAATAAAAAATAAAACAAAAAGGTAATGTAAAATCAACAAAACTGAATAACTTGCATATACGTAAATAGTGGCAGGTACATACATATATACATATATACTTACAAAGAAAATCAAAAATTATTAAAAAAACACACACACACATTTGCCAATCAACCGCAAGCTAAAACGGGTAAAATTTAAGGTTTGACTTTATTTGCAGAAAACCTTTTAACTAATCGAATTTGAAATGTGTACATTAATTGCATTAAAAAGACCATTTTGCATGCAAAAACCCATTTGCTAAGCTCCATCATCGCAACGCATGCGCGCGTACTGCTTGAAGGTAACAAAATCAACTTATGCGAAAAGTAACAAAAACAAGGAAATATTAAGCTTAACATACATAATTAAAATTAACAGAATATCTAATAAAGTTTTTAAAAACCTAATGTAAAAAGAAAAATATACAAACACAAAAAAAAAAATAAAAAATAAAATAAATAAATATATATACATATACAATACATATAAATATTAATTATTCAAAATTATACTTAACGCTTAACAATTACTGCTGAAGCTGCTGCTCTATATAGTGTGTAGAAAGTGTGCGTATGTGTATTAATTAAAAAAATTGTTTTCTTGATTAAAAGAAAAAACAATAATAATAATTTCAATATTTTAACTAATTTCTAATTTCTAATTACATAATTATTTAATGTAAACAGCTGTTGTAAATCAAATGAAATCAAAGTATGCAAAAAAATGATAGTAATAAAATATTTACATAAAAATTTAATATAAAAAATATTGAAAATATTTTATGCATATGTAATAAATAAATGTATGTATGTACAATTAATTTACATTTAACCCTTATGAAATTTATATAATTAACTTATGTAAAATGTAATTATAATAATATATTGTATCTAAATGATTTAAAGAGAAAAAAGAAAACATAATAATAATAATAATAAAGTAAACAGTGAATTTTCGAATAAAATGCATTGTGTATAATTTTCAAAAACAAAAAAAAAAAGAGTTCACCAGACAGACAGAAATATTCATAATTAAGTAACCGCAATTTCATTTTATTATGCCGCCTTTCGCTATCTGCAAAATGCCTTTCTTTTTTAAATAGATAAGGTGCCAAACCCCAAATCAATTACATTTCCGATTACACATTTTGTGGTTTCATATCATGCAAGTGATAAATAGTTATGCTTTCTCTTGCGTTAGTCTAGTTTTGGCCGCGCTATCAATTGGTTCCGAGAACATTGGTTTTTTTTTGTGTTTTTTTTTTTTTTTTACATAATTCCAAGTGACTCAAACATTTTGAAGTGATTATTTTTGCGCAGAATAACTTTTATGCAGCAAAATAGCTAATATTAACAAAAAATTATACGAAGTTGTGCATATATACGAAAAGCGAAAATAACTGGCGCTTCTTTAAAAAAAAAAAAAAAACTGGATATTCCTTTTAAACTTCCATATGTTTTTAATCAGCTATAAAAAGAAGAGAGGTGAGTTTGTGGCATATAATATGTTAATCATTCAAGTCATTTCATTTAAAACTAATTTATACTAACTTTTTATTATACTCTTTGTTATAATTTAATTTTATTTTTATTGATTATTTATATTTTGTTTGACTTTATTTTATATTAACTTATTTTTTATTATATTTTAATATATGTATATTATTTTTTCTTTTATTTTCAATATTATTTTATAAAATAAAATTATTCATTATATTTATTTTGTTTTACTTTATTTTCTCTTATTTTATTTTTTATTTTAATTATTATGTATATAAATTTTTTATATTATTTTTCATTTTATTTTATTTAGTTTTATTTTTATATATGTATTATATATTTATTTTGTTGCATTTAATTTTTTCCGTTGTGACTTATTTTATTTTATTATATTTTTGTTTTATTTAATTTCCTTAAATTTTAGGATGATATATTTTATTTTATTTTTACGTACGGTATTTCAGTTTCCTTAATTTTTTTATATATCTATTTTTATTAGTTTTATTTTATTTCATTTTCTATTTCATTTTCGCTTTATTTTATTCTTTTCTTTTAATTTATTCACTTTGTTTAATCACATTTAATTCAAATTTATTACACTTTAAGTTATTCTATTCATGTTATTTTATTTTACTTCTCTTAAATTTATTTTATTTTATATAATTTTATTTCATTTCATTTTCAATCATTTCTATTGGTTTTTTATTATCTTCTTTTAATTTAACATTTCCTTTTTTATATTTATTTTTATTATACTTTATTTTATTTTAAATTTTCCTTTAAAATTTTATTTTTATTGCCTGCAATATTATTTGAATTAAATTTTTATCTCTTTTTATTATTGGTTTTTATAATTCTCATCTGGCAATGCTATCTGCAACCACTTGAATGCTGCTGTCAAAAGCTTCTTATGGAGCGATACCTGTTTTGTGCATAAATTCCATTGTATGCATAGACACATACAGTACATACCTACATACGTATGTGTCTCTAGCCGGCATAATTTTAATTGCGAAAATACAAACTAAAAGAGACGTAAAAACGAAACAAACACAAGCTATAGCAATCAAGTAAAAAGTGGTTTAATTTATGCGTTAATTGATTGAGGGAATATGAAATAAAATAACAAGAATATATCTACCAGTGAATAATAATCGATTCTGATTAATACCCATAGGTATAAGTAATAAGGAGTTAAACTTAAAGTCGCCAAACAATAATTAATTGGATTTGTGTTTTGGTCGACGCACTTTATGAAGCGTATAAAAAATACATTCAAATGTATATATTTACTATTGTATATATAGAAAGTGTGAAAATTTAAAATGTGATAGAATGAGCTTGGTTTTCGTCTCGAAAGCGATAAGCTTGACGAAAGTGTAACAAAACTACTAACTATAAAGCAATTGATGACGCTGATTGGTTCTCAGAAGACTCTCACTAAAGTCATAAAAGCATATATATGCAATACATATGTACGGATATGTTTGTATAACTTTGACGTAGTTTATTATAGGTACATATATGTATTCCACCCGAATGTCTTATACTTATGTTCAAAGCAAAATTGACACTTCAATTGCTCAGCTGTCAATGAGTTGTGTCAGATAAGATAAAAATTTCAAAAGCTTTATGAAACTATAAACGCAAAAATTTTTTTCACTTATTAATTTTTTCGCATTTCACTTTGCTTTATTGGTAATAAATGTATTTAATTTTTTATTATATAATATTATGTGCAATTATTTTCGATAGTTTTTATTTTAATTGTTTCATTTTTTGACCAAATTATTTGTATATATTTTGTTTAATTTATTTTTTATTGATTTTTTTTGTTTTATTAAATTTAGTTTTACTTAATGCCGTTTTAATTTAATCTTTGTTGTAATCATTTATTTTAATTTCTTTCTTTCAATCAATTTCATATATTGCATTTTATATTAATTTGCTTTTTATTTCAATACTATTTTATTTAATTTATTCTCTAATTAATATTTGTTATTTTATTTTAATTTAATTTTTATATGGATTCTTTTATTCATTTCTTCTTTTGGTTTATATATCTATTTCTTCTTTATTTTAGCTTGTTCCATCTTATTTAATTTTTTATTTTATTTTAGTTAATTTATTTAATTTAAATTTAAATTGTTTTTTTTATTTAGGATAGGATTTTAATTTTTTATTTGTTATTTTGTTTTATATATTTATTTGTTCTTTATTTTATTTAATTATATTCTACTTGGTTTTTTATTTTATTTTAGTTAACTTAATTGCATTATACTTTATTTAATTTTTTATTTCTTTATTAACTTTTTATATTGCAATTATTTAATTTAATTTAATTTTAATTTTTTTATTTCATTTTATTTTAATAAAATTTATTTTATTTTATTTACGTTTAATATTATGTGCAATAAAATTTATTTTTACTTATTTTATTCGATTTACTTTTATTATATTTTAATTATTTTTTATTCCTTTCATTTTTTGTTTTAGTTAATTATGCCTAATTTTGTAATGTGTTATTTTTTTTACTCATTTTAATATATTTTATGTAATTAATTATATTTGCATATTTATTTTTTATTAGACTATTGAATTTATTTTTACTTAATATCTAATTAATGTATTTTTTCTTATCTCAACAATTTTTTTTATATTTAATTAATTTTATTTAATTATGTTTATTTTTTATTCTTTAGTATTTTATTATATATACATATTATTAAGCTTTATTTAACTTGTTTTTAATTTTTATTAATTTATTTATATTATTTTATACATTTTTTGTTGATTTATTTATTTTGTTTGGCAGACTTTTTTTTGTTGTTTCTCTCTGATATATCTATTTTGTGGTATTTTGTCTTTTAATGTCTTGCTTCTTCTACTTTTTACACAAACGCATAAATAAAAATATTTACATATTTATACATAAAATACAGTATCACTCAGGCCAATTCAATGTTAGCTTTCAGGGTCTTTTTAATTTAAATTTGTTTCTGTCAAAATATATACAAGGTAGATTTCTGCTTATAATTAGGAGGGCCGAAAGGAATGTTTGGGCGTAAAATCGATAGCGAATTCTGTTTCGGCTTAGATATCCACTCTCTTAAGGATCAAAGTCGGATTCCGTAGGGAACCAAACTTTGATATTATAGACTGAGTGTCTTCGAAAAATTAAAAAACAAAAAAACACCATCAATGAACGTAGTTTTATATGAAAAAAATCGCAAACATCAGAAATTTCGCTTTTCCTACCGGGTGGACATTTGTTGCTGTTGCTTGCCGGCAAAATCGTTTTCGTCTCAATATCTTCTAGCCCATAACTTTTTATAAGTGTACACGTACATTCACATGCATAAATTGGAATGGAAAAAATTAAGTATGTTTTATACATAAATAAATATTTGAGTATTTTAATAATTTTAGTTTGACACTCGCCACTCAGCTGTTACTTCCATCATTGGTGAGTGAGTGAGTCAATGATAATAGTTGATGATAAAGCGCGATCCATGGCGCTGTGTACGCTGAAAAATCACTCAGATTTCCAGACACAATTCGAAAGTCATAAATATTTATAAGTTTACGTACATATGTACCTAATACATACAAATGTTGATTGTGTGAACGCACGAGTGCCTCAAACTGGTGCTGCCATCAACTCGGTCTGAAGCTGTGCGCCCAGTCGCTTGCAAACTCAACGAGAGTTACAACTTCACTTCAAGCTCGAAGGTGCAGCTTTTAATTTAGCTTAACATTTTCATACCATTTTTGTTTGTACTTTATTATTGTATTTTTAAGTATTTTTGCGTAAAGTTTGAGAAAAAGCGTGCGCGTTTCTTACATCTGCTGGACATCAAAGCAACGACGAAGGCATGAAGTTAGTGAAGAAGCGAATTTGCTTAAAGAGTGTTCGTCAAAAAGCCAAGAAATCATTTTGAAAGTGGAAGGAAAAAAGTAAAATATTTTACTCTTCAGTGTAAGCTGTTGTTGGTTGGTGTGGCAAGTGTGCGCGTGATTCACAAGGCTTACCAGTTTGCTGCTGCTGCCCGTATAAAAAGTGTTTGAATGTGCGGAAAAATACGCTGTGGAATTTTATTTCAATTTGTTATTAGTCGAACTAAAGTGTGAGCGGTGTCAATGAACGGCGAGTTTGAGATTTCATAATTGAAAAATAAAAATCACAAATAAATAATAAGTAAAGTGACTAAGTGAGGCTTACTAAAGGAGTTCAAATTTACTTACTTGTACAAATTTAAATACTTTTTGCATTAAAAATGTATGTAATTTTGTGTTAAAGCGTTTAAACAAGTTTAAAAGCTTCCAACATCCTCATCAAGTGTTGAAAAAGCGTACGGCGTGGCCTTGCTTCCAGTATGTGGCAAATTGCATTGAAGTGAAAAAGCTCAGAAATTCCAAAACAAGAAAGCGAGCAACAAGTTGTTGGAGAAAAACAACAAAGCATACTAATGTTTTGAGCTTAAATCGTTATCGAAACGGCATTATAAATTATGAGAAAGGCTATTAAATCAAAAATCAAATAAATAACATAAAATAAAATAAAATAAAAAAATCTAATGCCAAATAATTAAAAAATTAGGAAATATAAATTAAAGCAAAGTAAATTAAATTAAATTCAAATTAAATAAATTAAAAAAAAAAATAAAAAATAAAATAAAGTGAAAAAAATTAATTTCAAATTATTAAAATAAAATAAAATCAGTTAAAGTAAAACAAATTTTATTATAAAATAAATCAAAATAAAACAAATTAAGTTAAAATAAACTGAAATAAAATAAACTATATTTACTTAAAGTAAAATGATGGAATAAAATGTATTAAAATTAAGAAAATTTATGGCAACAAAAATATTAAACTAAAATAAATTAAGAATGAAATAAAAAGATTTAAAAAAAAAATTAATTAAATTTAATTACAATTCACACTCAAAACCGCTTTATCGCAACTTCACTCAACTGTCATTA